TTTAATAGAGAAACTAAAAACAATACAACGTACATATAGCATTTAACCGGCAAAGAGAGTAGGAAACAGTGCGCACATACAGCTTATGTCAACAGTTAACCGGAAGCGTTGGGAATGAATCAACAAGTTAACAGAAGGAGTACCTTGGAGTTCAGTGCTTCGTCACGGATCTTCACGTAACACTACGACGAAGGCCGCGACATCGTTTCGAAAGAAGTATCGAGAGTTCTGCTGATGCTGATCGCTTTTGCGCATCGAGGAGTGCCATAAAATTTTTGAGTTTTGGGCAACATTCTTGTGCGGGAAGTTCAAATATATGTTCATTCTTCTTTTAGGTTGTCATTGACCGCCATCCTGTGAGGTTCTCCGTGCATGCACGTCCTCACGTCGACTACTTCCTTTCTGTTGTCAGTCAATGGTACGATATTACAAGTTTTTTTTTGCTTTCTGGTAAAATTTCCATGTGGACAACAATATTGTTACATTCTGTATTCATGCATGGTTGCCGATTTGTTCCCCGTCATAATCCTTGCTTTACTAGAGCCATTGAACCGTTTGTTAGCTGATAAGCTTTGGACCATGGCGAGTGAAGTGTTTTTGGTTCTGTGGGGGCGAGGGATAGAGTGTTATTAGCTTTTTCGTCGCAGAATCTCAGCGAAATTTCCGAGAAGGACCATGACAATAACCTTTCCCGTGCTATTGCTGTGCGTTTTTAGTGTTGAAATATATGAAAGGGATTCCGGGTAAATTAATGAAGTAGATACCATATTTAATGCACTTTTCAACCACCACTGGCTGCCATGGTCGAATTTCCTGAATTCTGACCTTTTTCATTACTTACGTTCACTTGACAATATTCTTATTGCCTCCTAAGCAGCCTTTCGTGTCAAGCTGCTCTCGTCTTGCTAATAACGTGTCCTTTGGGATAGGGAGAAGGTAGTAGGTAGGAAATTTTCATTTGTATTTGGTTTCTTTTAGGTTCGATTTGGTAGTTTTTACTGCTAGTATGGAAGTGTATGGAACACATGTTGCTGATAAGCTAGATAATGGACGAGGGATTCTAAACAGGAGGTTGTTCTTTACTGCAATTTTACTGTTTTCAATGTGCTGCTAATGAAGTGTGTTCTAGCAACTTCCGAAACTTGAGCGGGAGAAACATAATTTTTCTTGAAAGTTATTCTTACTATTATATTTCGGTGATAACAACAAATTCTCATTCAGTCCCTGCTTAGATTTTTACTGAAAAGAAAGCTGTTCTGCCGAAGTTCTGTGATCATGGAAGTAACTAGTAAAGGATTTTTTCTTCAAGGTACTTTCGCCAGCACTGCACAATGGATTATGGAGGATACACGAAAGATCTTAGCGCCATTCACCAAGATCTTTCATCCATTTTCATTTTGGACAATTCACCAGGAGCCTATAGAAAGTTTCCTCGTAAGTTAATATGTTATGCTAAGTGCTGTTACGGCTGAACATTTGTGTCTCTATTGTGATAAATTTGAACTTAAGCGATTATTTGATTTATAAGAATGCTGTTATTATAGAAAACGCTATTCCGATTCCGTCATGGTTTTCGGACCCATCGGACACATGTCTACTGAATTTATTACCTTTTCTTGATGCGTTACGGTTCACGTCAGATGTACGTAGTATTTTGAGTCGAAACCAGCAGAGTTTCAATCAAGTATGGTGATGCCGCCACCGTCACTTTGTCGTCTCACTTGTGAGTTTTCCTTTCTTGGATTGCCAGAGAATTGCAGTTTTGTTATTATTGTCTTTAAAGCTCCTCCAGAATCTCCAAATAAGTGAAAGAGAGCGACTCGAATGATTGAGGAGGAACATTTATAGTTAGACAAAATGAAAACCTTACCTGGGATTTCCAAATGAGAGTTCAAAATTTGTTCAGGCACTCCTCGATGCGCAAAAGCGATCAGCATCAGCAGAACTCTCGATACTTCTTTCGAAACGATGTCGCGGCCTTCGTCGTAGTGTTACGTGAAGATCGTGCACGAAGCACTGAACTCCAAGGTACTCCTTCTGTTAACTTGTTGATTCATTCCCAACGCTTCCGGTTAACTGTTGACATAAGCTGTATGTGCGCACTGTTTCCTACTCTCTTTGCCGGTTAAATGCTATATGTACGTTGTATTGTTTTTAGTTTCTCTATTAAAATTGTTTCGATATTAATATGCGGTACATTTCCAATCTCCGACATCACTGGCATACATATCGTCCTCATCGTCGTCGTTGTTCTGGACTAGCTATTTCATTTATCATGCGTTTTGATCAGTTACTAAATTTTATTATATACAGCTAAAATGGGTCTGGTAATAACCTTGTTATATAACACTGTTCCTCTTATTTATACCACATTACGAATTTCTTACGAAAATTAGTTGTTCAGGATTTGTTCGGTTTAGATATGCAACTCCATAAGGTTTGCATACAGGCCATTTGGGATGAAATTTTTGGTGAAGGGACGGTAGGAGACTTAGTCTTTTAGGACCTTGGCATGGCACAAGTTCTTCCCTGCCCTACCCTGTGCTATATTTTCGGTGTGCGGATTTCCGTGTGATGTATTCGTTAATCGGTTCATTACCTTGCACGATCTACCCTCATAACACAGTGGCAAGCAAGTGCCCACTAATACTATGCAGTTGTGGAGATTTCTAGTCTCCTCTTGGGTGAAAACTACCTTCCACACTATCGTTTCATTGGGCCATTACTGCAATTAACAATCTCGATTATTTTTTGTTAAGAATTCCTGTGTGAAGTCATTCATTCCGTGATTGCTTTCTTCATATTAATTTATTTATTTACGACCCTGACTGCTGCTTTACCATGTTTCGCTGGGGAAACAAATGGATATCCGTAGGCTGATTAAGAGACTCAGCAAAAAAGAACGTTACCCTTTAGCGAGGCATTCATTCTGATATTTTGCCCTTAGGAATTGGTCTTTGTTAACGAAAGCGTAGTCATATCAGTGCTTAAGCCAGCATCAGATATGGTAACCTCCTCTGTGGCAGTCAGATGTTGATTGATGTGGCATGGAAAACAAGTGGAGGTCAAGAAGAAAATGTCTATTTCTTGTAGAGCTGCTTTAGAAGAGGATGCAGCACCCATTAAATTAACAAAAAAATGAATCAGTAAGTCACGACCAAGCATTTTTTGTCAATTTTTCTGAGCTTAAGGGCTATTTCCATAAGGCTATGCGATGCCTTGAATGGAGTTGTGATATCAAAAAATGCGAATTTGAAAAATCGTCAGCCGCTCAACTATTGATTCTGAATTCTTTCTCCTTCTTCTGCGCCGATAAATATTCTATGGTGAACAGTTTCCGGGTTTCTCGAACTGGCTCGTCTGTACTCATACTGCTTATAGTTAGTAATTGGTACTGTAGCGGTGTGGTTGCATTTGGGTCAGTCACCTTGGTTTCCGTATGAAATAATCTTATCCATTGGAAATGCGTTTTTAAATTATTCACATTCAGATATTCATAGTCCTCGCCTTGACCTTAGGAGTGAGAATTCTTGTCTAACATGTAGCCGGTTCTCCTCGAATGGTGTCAGGGATCATTTTAACTGCAGTTTATCGATCTGCATGAGTAGCACCCTCTTTAATATTACATGAGCCTGTTTTTATTAAAATAAATGCGATTCACTCATCAGGAATTATTTATAACCGAGTCGATGTTGCATCACTACGACGGAGTTTTTGCTGATCGAAGATTTTGTTAGTGATATACCTTTTTGAATAACGGTGTACATTTGTAAGCTATACAAACGTATTTCTCTTTATCTGCATTACTGTGCTCGTGTGTGTTTTTTCGGGATTTCATAGAAGATTTTTTCAACTTTGTTTGTTTTCAAGTGATAGTGACAATTGAATATTTTCACTATAAATTTGTGATGGAACCGTTGTATTGTTGTCGTGGTTAAGTCTGATGGTCTGCAGCTGGTGATTGTCATGCGACAGCGATCCATGTAGTTTTTCGAAAGGAGTTCTATTTGTGAAATGTACCTGACAATTAGTGACTAATGATCACTAATTATTTGCAGATCAAGGGCCGGTGTTATTCATTTATGGAGCCTTGATTGTTCTCTGAGTAGACTGAAAATGCTAATGTTCGGCAACTAAGATTCTGATGATAGACCCCTTTGAAGGCTTTTTAAGCAGAGCTCGGTTTGGATTTTTTACAGGACTTTCATCGAGAATACGTATCCATAATTATGACTCGAAAGTCTATTCAATGTTCAGTCCAACCTTCTCCTTCACAGGGAGAATGGGGCTTATTTTGTGGGTGCTGTCGGATCCGGAAAGGTAACATGCTTTGTCACGCTTACACAAAGCTTCTGTCAACCAAATGTGAGAGTATTAATGGAAACGCATAAGCTTCGAGCAGTACTCCGCATTCAAGGCTACGCCATTCAAAGAAAGCACATAAGCAAGGCGTCGAGGAAAGTCTTGAGATTTCACCCCAACGGGGAGCGAAAAGTTCACCGGCGGCGGGGATGCACGCGCGTGCTGGTAATGTTAGAGCGATGGAAGATGGCCAGCGCTGCTGAAGCTTTGCTCGGAGAGTAACAAGGTTGCTGGTGCACTACTTACCCATGCAATGAATAGCGAAGTGAAGTGATTATATTACATATTGATGCCACTCTTGTACTGGAAATTAGAAATTTCTAAAGCAAGAAATTTTCTGTGGAATGTTCCAATTATAGTATACAATCCGTAATGCAATGAAGAAAGTCAGTACCCTCGTGTGTAATCTTGGGTAGTACACAGTCATGCTGAAGTTCATCCCTATGAGCTCGTTCTTTGATTTCGATTCACACTCAAACCATTACTGCACAGTGAAGTTAGAGCACAATAAATGTTCGCAGTACCTGATGTATTGAAGAATTGGCACCGCCGCTTCTTGCTGGTTCCCTCGCCACCACTCTGACGTTAAAATGACGTCACCAACACGCGAACACCTCCGCGCGACCAGTGAGCTTTTCTATGGAGCCCACCCCCACCTCAGAAACGGAGGGTCCATGCACAACTCTTCCCTGTCTGCAGATGACTTGTTGAAAGATGTGGATCCTCTAACATACGCTTTGACCTTGGATCGGCTTACTTATTAGGGGAACACGTTGAAAATTGAACACGTATCCGAATGACCTTAACCAATACAAAACCTAAAAAACCTGAGCCTCTTCAAAGTGGACGAATTTCCTAATTGAAGAAGTGGGGAATCTTTCGACCAGTGCTTTCAACAGTAAGTCCTTAGAAAATAATGTGGGTGTTTCTCGCTGAGACAGAAAGCTATAATACTTTTTCGCGTATCTCAGCGCGAAACATTTTTCGATGCGAGAGCTTTAGGTGCTGAGCTGATCGTGGACCGTATCCTATCCTTCCCTTAGGCTAGGGGGACAGGGCAATCCCTTTGAAAATTTCTATCTTTTCGACAAAAATGGCTCTGAAAAAGTGCGTATTGTAATGTACCTATATATGTATGTAAAAGCAAGCATGTGAGGAAAGTAAGGGAACAGTGTCGTTCAAAACAAATAAATTCAAAGGACTCTTTTGTACCCCTAGCCTGAGGGAAGGAAAGGATACAATCCCATGAGTGGACCGCAGCGAGAAACTTTTCGTACTGCGAAACGCGAGAAAGTCGCTCTTTGTCCTAGCGAACCACACCAAGTAATGTACCATTTACAGTCGATATCCGAAAGTTGGGGTGGGCGTGTCACCGGAAGTGACGTGCACTTGATAGAAGTTGCGTGGATAAGCTGTTGCCAGCATGCTTTGCTGATATCCAGCGATGTATGTTGGAAGCAGCTTATCCACATAGCTTCTATCAAGTGCACGTCACTTCCGGTGACACGCCTACCCCAACTTCGGATATCGAGTATAGTTTCCTGGTTGATACGAACGTAATTAACAAATGGAGAAAGAGCGAGTTCAACCCTTCCAAACTACGAGCTCCTTCATTTGCTTTACTTGGGAAAGTGGTGTGGAGCTGTAAACAAGAAGACTTGATCTATCCAACATTGTCAAAAGCGACTTGTGACATTCTGTTGCAATATGTCAAGTATGTCGCGTTAAAGAGGATTTTTCCGCAAATAATCGGAAAATTTTTAAGAATGGCGCGCGATTTCTTTGTATGCGTCAAGAATCCTGTATTTAAGAGCACTAACTTCTTGTAGCACTCATTTTGAGAAGGCTTGTGAACAGAAATTTAATTCTAATCAAAATCAGAGCGCGACTCATTAGGAGCAACACCTAATACAGCTCGGCATCTTCAAAAGTGCGGCGCGTGGTCTTCTGTACTTGCGCCGCGAGACAAGTAGCTTTCTTGATAACTGGCTGCCTCCGTCCCTCTCAGCGATCTCCGAAATAAAAAAACCTATGTAGATGGAAGTAAGGCGGGCTCAGAAACGTGATAGTTTCATCCGGCTGTTTTATGAATTTAGTGCGTCAGCTGCAAATTTTCCTACTAATGATTAGATGTTTTTTACGGAAGTGGTCAGTGCTGAAGAAGTTCCATTGCTTCCTTAGCAATTGGCGTTCTGCGAAGATTTCAAGAATTCGATGTGAGCTGTGACTTTGGATAATGTCGATAACTTCAGCATGTCTGTTCTGCTAGATAACTCTGAATTGGAGATTCAGCCGGGTTTCGAATAACTAAATTTATACGTTAGAACTACTTACTTACTTCTTACTTCTCGACCGCTATTCGTCCCGGGCACGCCAGAAACGCAGGTCGCACATCTTCCAGGTCGCTCTGCTTCGGGCTCTTCTGCGCCACAACTGGCCGTACATCTTCACGAGAGGGTCTGCCCATCTGGTGGGGGTCTGCCTCTGGGCCTTGTTTTTCCCCTTGGGTACCAGTCAGTCACTCTCTTCGTCCAGCGATCATCGGTAAGTCTAGCCACATGACCGGCCCACCTCCGCTTGGAATTATGATGCCATGACGACGCGTCCTTCACACTATCGTCACGAAGAGCTATGTGTCATTGTGACTGTGTGCTCGGGAGCGTATACCCGCCACATGCCCCTCCTCTCATGGCTTTCGCGAGTGACTGCGAGGTTTCTCCTCTTCAAGAGACTGTGGTGCTCGGCACGTCCTCGGCGCCCCGTAGGTCATACGCGTGGAAGCAACATTGCGACAATAAGAACGGTGACTTGTTGACTCCAGGTCTACGTGCGTTAGAAAAGCTTACAGTACTCTCGAAGACTATTCACATTGAACGCGTCCACGGACCAGTCTCTGTCGGCGTGCGCTAATCTTCAGCTGATGAGATCGATATTCATTGTGACCGCGCTTTACCGAGTATTATTACGTCAAAGGAGACTCGCTCGAATCTCCCAATGGCTTTCGTGAGTTGACAGGACTCAGGCTAGGTACTCGTGAACTTTTGTTTGCCGTTGATTGTTCGTTGTGCATCCAC